TGCAAGAAGCATGAGATGTAACAGGTCTAGCCTTAGCATGACGGTATTTTCCGCTCACATTGCGCCCCGAGGCCTGGACAGATGAAGTAAGCCGCAGGCATCTCAGTTAACTCCTGCCCAGCACATGCAGGGTTTCGAGCGGGAGTCCGCCTTTTGAAGTAGAAGGCGGACTCCCGCCCAAAACGCAGTAAATTCGCTCAACTTGCAACTTGGCGGAGACTGCCACGTTGCTTCTTGACCTACTGTTCGCGATGTGAACTTCCTAGTGCCGGCCCAAACACTGCATCATCCCTCCCCTGCCACAGAGAAGCAATGGCCAAATCATCGAAGCAGCAGAAGTCTCGCGCTACAGGACACAAGGCTGCCATGAAGACAAAGTTAAAGAAGAAACCTCAGAGACGTGGACCAAAGCTGGGCCCAGCTGCTACGCTGCCAGGACAGGAGTGGACTCGTTGGCTGAACCACGTCTGTAAGACCGGTTCGTGCTGGTTGTTCGTTGCCCTCCTCTTCACCCATCTACTTTGCCTTCGCATTACGGAAGCTTTGCGATTGAAGAGTTCGGACTTTTGCTTCACTGCCTCCAACTGCTCGGTATTCGTAGGTCCACTGAAGCGTCAGGCCAGTGTACGCAAACCGCTTTTGAAGCAAACGCAGACTGTCTTGAAGCGTCTGAAGGAGGTTGGAATCAAGCAGAAGAGAGTCCGAAACGCAGGAGCAAGAGGACAGCAAGTCTTCTGGGATGTGTGGAAATGGCCGAAGACAAGCTCAGGGTATCTATTCCCGGCAGAGCGGGTGGATAGTGTCAAGCCATACAGAACGAAGGATGCAGTCTCGAAAGCAATTTCGAAGCTGCGCCAAGGGTATGCAAGGCCAGTAGAGGGAGTCATAAGGTCTCACTCGGGCCGTCACTCCATGATCAACTTGTTAAAGACTTTAGGAATAGCAGAGGCAGTGGGCATGCAGTTTGCGAGAATCTCGAACCCGCAGGTGTACAAAAAGTATGGAAACATGACAGAAGTACAGCTGGCTGCAGCCCTCAAGAAAAGCAAGCCACTGCAAACATCTCTAGCAACGCAGTATAAAGGCCTGGTCCTCGGCAAGAAATGAGGCAGCACAGGTTGATGAACAGCAAATCAGCAGAAGCACCACTCCGTACCTCAGTCTCACTCATGCTTGACTGTCCTTCATTTGTGGCTGGCACAAACACATGCCGGCCACGCATTGTACGAAGGGGGGCTCTTGTTGCCTTGCATGCTGACCTGACATGATGCTCTCTGAGACCAGCACATCACTGAAGCCCGAATGCATTGTTTTATCAACAGAAAATCAGCCGAAGCACCACTCCGTACCTCATAGAACATTTGCGTGACTGTCCTTCAAGTCTGCCTGGCACAAATACATGCCGGCCATGCATTGCAGAATTGGGCTCCTGTTGCTTTGAAAGATGACCTCACATGATTCTGACACTGTCTGAGAATAGTACAACGTCACTCTCCGAAGCAGGAGCCTCCTGTCTATAATCCGCATCAAGCCTTTCCAGTATGACTGCAGATGGAAAAGACGTTCAGCGAGAGACTGAGAGCTATAGGCTAGCACCTTGAACGTTCCGCGTGTATGCCTTCGCTAGCCGTAAACTAGATGTCATGTGCATTCTCATGGAGGGCGAATCAAAACTGAGCTCCAGGCTTGAAGAATCAGAAGTGGCTCAGGACCGACAAAGACCTCATTGTTCATGGATGGTTGAGCGATGAAACTCGGCTGCTTTAGATTTCACTCTCAGGCGATCCATGTCGTTGCTGCAGCAGTTGTCGAAATCATTGCCGGCTCGCTACTTTTTTCCAGACTCCTTGGCAGAAGACGGTCTCGCAGCACCGACGCTTCATATCAATAGCACGTCGTCTGCTGGCAACGCCAAAACTGATTGAAACATCGCAGGCACCAAACAAAACTGGAGACTTTGTAGCAGAGTGCGATAATCATGATGCAGTCAGGAGGGATCGTCAGGCTTGCTGCTGTGTTCGGGCGGCCATTAGAGCTGCCCTCTCACTTGATTCCATCCATGCTTGGTTAGCTGCCAGCACCCGTTCCTGTCCGGCTGTCATGTTGCTGGCGGCAATCCAAGCTTTCACGAACCTGTTCTTGGCTGCAAGCCCATTCTTCACTGGGGACACAGCCGCGGAAGCTCCCGGCGTATCCTCTGCATCAGCCGCGGGTGCGGCAGCTCCCCGCCCATCAGTTGTCTTTCTGCAAACGCCTTTGGATTGGAACTTTTTGTGCCATGCTATAGACGAAGCGCGGTGTGCCTCCTTGCGCCTCTGCTCCTCCTTGGCTTTCGACTTCGGGGACATGGCGGCGATAAGCACCCTTTTCCGCCCACCACGCTTGTCCATCTCGTTGGTCGTGGCCCCTGGCAGCTTCTCCCCGGGATTGCCATCTGCGGCCTTGTTGTTGCTGTCCTTCACTGCCGACTGCATCTTCTCTCCTCGGTCTTGCTGTCCGCAGCCTTTTTCTTGGCGGTCGCGGCGTTTGGCATCAGTCCTTTTGGCCGTGGGGCCCGGCACGCCCTTGCGCTTCACAGGCGACTCCGCTGCAGGCAGCACGGGTGAGGCCGTACGGGAGTTGTCCGTGGGGCCCTGCACGCCCTTGCTCGTCACAGCCGACTCCGCTGCAGCCCTCACAGGTGAGGCCATATGGGAGTTGTCCATGGGGCCCGGCACGCCCTTGCTCGTCACAGGCGACTCCGCTGCAGCCCTCAGAGGTGAGGCCATCTGGGAGTTGTCCGTGGTTCCCGGCACGCCCTTGCTCGTCACATGCGACTCCGCTGCAAGCCTCACAGGTGAGGCCATCTGGGCGCCGGACCCGGGGCTGATGTAGAAAGTAAAGCTGTCTTCCAGGCATGGGGGAGGCGGCTGGATGAACACAGGCTGCGAAGCTTGCGGCTGCACCACATCAGCCGCCTCCTCGTCTGAAGCAGAGTCAGAGATTGTCAGCCGCAGCTGGGACATGAGAACCGAGCCTTGGGCAAAGGCCAAACAAAAATGAATCGCTCCAGAGCTGCTGTCTCGATGAAATCTGCTGCAGACTCAGAGAGATAGTGAGCTTGCCAAGCATTTGCTTTGCTGCAAGACATCATATTAACGCAAAGAGTATCAGTGCAAAGTTTTGCCACGCATGATCTGGCCAAAAATATTCACCCAAGATTGGCTGCCGGAACAGCATGCACGCATGTTGCTGCGACGCACACATATCCAGCAGGTAAAGAAATTCTCTGGGCCTTTGAAGCATTAAGAGAACAATACAACACATTACATAATATTCATATTAAGTTAACTGTCTGAGGAGAGCGACAGAGAACTCAGGATGGGGTGTTTCAGAAGTGCGGCCTATGCACCCCCTGCAAGGCTCGGGCCCTTGGTGCATACATACCCTCATATTGTGGACTCAGGGACTTCCATGCAAGGAGCGCAGCCACCTTCAGATCATGCCCTGGATCGATCTTGCCTGGCCCTTGGCCTTCACCTACTATACATACTCCATAGTATATACTATACACACTTTATAGTAGTATAGTACGTTGTTCCACCCAGGGCTTTTCAGAGGACGCGTTGGATTTTGCCTTTGGCCATGGTCAACGCTCCACGCAGAAACCATAATGGCTTGGCAGCTGCTACTGTGTTCTCGGAGCTGTACGTTCGCAGCTTCCACACCAGCTGCATGCATGGCGAAGCCAGCTTGGCCGATGTGGCGAACCAACCAGCAGCATTCGTAAATCGCACGGCTGAAGCCTGCATAGAATTCGGCCTCCACACAGCATGGTCCGTGGCTTCGACATTGAACCTGGCCAGGCTGCATGATGCTTCTGAGGATTACTTCATGCTGTTATGTACATACATGTTCAGCCTCGCCTGTCGCTGGCATTTCCCTGCACGACCTCTGGGGGCCGCTCCACTCTGTGAGCTCCCAATGTATAGGATACCATTCCGCCAGCTTCGATCCGCTGCAACGCCTGGCGCAAAGTCATGACATTGCTGTCGCCGGACTCCTCCTCGCAGCACACGCATGAACGAAATTATAAACTAGATGGCAATGGATGGCAAACTGCGTGTCAAAAGATGCGTCCTCCAGAACCACTTTCGCCGTGTCGTCACCAAATTCGCAGCGGCAGCTCTTGTCCGGAAACTCCTTGACTTGGTTTTTCCCACGTTCGCCCGTAAGCCACGAGCCAGCACCATAGGTCAACAGCGGGCTTTTGGCGTCCAGCGTGGCGTCTTCCACCGCCTCCAAATAGAGCTTTTGCTCAACTACGATGAAGTTGACTTGCGAGGACATGGCGAATGTGATGGCGCCGTCTGTCGCCTTCAAAGACTGCGGGTCGGCTGTCTCGTTTGGGAATACCTGCAGAGTTCACAGCGTTTCAACAGCACATTCACACTGCACCTGACACGAAATGCCGAAATGCCTGGCCTTTGACCAATCGAAAGCCGCATCAACCGTCTCAGAACCTGTCTCGGTTGGCCCCGTCTGAGGGCTTGTGCCGTTGGCATAGCTTCGATCGAACTCTTGCAGTAGCTGCCGCCATTCCGGAGCTCTGACAGGGTCGGACAAGTATGTGCCTCGCACATCCCGCGGCAGTGCCAGGGCCCCATCGGCGTACACGCACAACTTGAACACGGGAACAGCTGGAGGTTGGGGGATTTGAGCTGCGTTAGGATTCTCCTGGAAGCGTGGGAGAACATCTTGCATTGCACCGCGGTTCTCTTTCCACTGAGCCAACAGCTCCTGCTTGATCAGCTTGTTTCCAGCATTGAAGACCTTTGAGTCCGCTGTGTGCGACACGGACGTCAGGCCCATGTCCAAACAAGCCTTCTCAACGCAGGCATCATAGAATGTGCCGTGCAGAATCACAGCATCGGTTCTCTCCCCCAGGAGAGCTTCCAAGATTTGCTGCGGCACTTCCGTTCCTCCAAGCCACTGCGCCGTCTCCTGTGCGTCCGTCATGTTGCGCTTGGACTCAAACGTAGGAAGGGCGCCAGGCACCACGAAGCTCGACTCTTGAATGGGAACTGCTGGCTTTGTTATCTGCTGCGCCCACAGCCTGGAAAAGCAGAAGCAATTGATGGAGGCCTTGTCCGCCTGACAGTTTCGAGTACACATGCGCAGGAGCCGCTGCACTAACTTCTGCAAGCATGTCTGCAACAGGGCACCTTGGAGTTTGCCGCTTGCATGGCAAGTGTCTTGTTGCTTCTGTGTCCTGTGCCTTTGGACGGGAGGGCACTGTCCGACACAGCCAGCAATCCCGGGTATGCCGACGGCAAGTCCCGATTTGCATGCTGCTGCGTGTTGTCCAGCAGCAGCGTAAAGGGGCGCAGCTCCAAGCCATGCTTGATCAACTTGTCCTCCAGCTTTCTGTGATCCTCCCGCAAGCTTCCGGAGCTGGAGGCGGAAGCCAGCAACGGAAGAATGATGACCACACAGGAGCCTCCAAGTGTGAACAAAGCGATAAATCCCAACAGGTTGCAACCGGCGGAATGTGGGTCCTGGATGCCGGGACAAGAAATATTAAATCCAAACAGGCTGCAACCCGCAGAATGTGCGTCCTGAATTCCAGGACAAAACAGCATCGCACGCAGCCAGCTCAGGTTTTCTTAGAAGGTAGAGCCCATATGATCATGAGCTAGGACCAGGTAGGACAATCAAGCCTTGGAACACAGAGCCTCCACAAAACAAGTCGCAGAATGTGCGTCCTGAATTCCAGGACAAAACAGCATCGCACGCAGCCAGCTCAGGTTTTCTTAGAAGGTAGAGCCCATATGATCATGAGGTAGGACCAGGTAGCCTTGGAACACAGAGCCTCCACAAAACAAGTCGCAGAATGTGCGTCCTGACTTCCAGGACAAAACAGCATCGCACGCAGCCAGCTCAGGTTTTCTTAGGTAGAGCCCATATGATCATGAGGTAGGACCAGGTAGGACAATCAAGCCTTGGAACACAAGCCCAAACAAAGCCTCGACAAAACATGTCAGGCAGCTCAGAGGGGCTTTGGCACAAAGCTTCTCTGCCCACTTCCCGATGGCATTCACAACGGGCTGGGTGTTGATCCCGAACTTCGTGGCATCCACGATGCCAATCAGCTTCGCAGCCTCCACCTGTGTCAAGCACCAATAAATTTGGGCTGGCCATGCGTTCCAAATTTGACTGGTTTTAAGTCTGGCCTGACCTTGTGCTTAGCAGCAACGGCTCTCATCATGACGTCCAACCGGTTGGGAAATCCCAGGTCTGAAGTCAATGCCGTGTAGCAGCGGGAGAGCATGACCTCCTCCACGGCCCTTGGCTTTCATTTAAATGATATTATATTGTATAATGCTGCAGTGTTACGACATTTTGACACCCCCTGCCCCCCTTCCTCCCTTCCATGACAGCAAAGTTGCTGCATGCCTTTCTCCTCTTGTGTCTTCGTGTGCAATACCTGGATGACATGTTTCCTGGCATCGGTCTTACCCTTCGCGGCATGATACTCGGCCAGTGCTTGGCAATCATGGGCCAATTGGGCTTTCACAGCCGAAAACTTGCTGGCAACAGCGGCTTCCTCAGCCGCGACGACGTCGCTGCAATTCGTCGCAGCCAAGATGGCATCGGTACCCGAGTTGGCCTTGTCCACGATGTCTTGCCAAAGTGACAGGTTTTGCAATCGAAAACTGACATTCTTGCACTGGATGCTGGCCTCGATCTCCTGATAGTAATCCCTGAGAGGCGGGTCAGTCTCATATCAATTGTCATTGTCCTAGTCAGTCCTAGTCATGGTCATGACATCAAAGGGCATGACCATGTATTTTGCAAGCCAAGCTACTTCGCCAGGAAGCTGTCCATGATCTGCTGGTCGATTGTCTTGTCCGATGAGGCAAGCTTGGCAGCAGCACGCACCGAAGCAAACATGGTTGCAAAGTCGCATAGCTTCTCGAAGTTCTCCTTGTCGAGCCGGCACTTTGCCCGTGCAGTGGCTCCCTTGCATTTCCTCACCGCCTGCATGTAAAGGTGCACGTGCAACTGCATCAACATCATCTGCGCTTCTGGCGTCCTCCGGGCTTTGGAGACCAGACTGCTCAAGACTGATGCTAGCTTAAACCCCAGCTCATCACGCCATGTAATACACGCCAAGAGTCATGGTCAAGGCCTGCCCGTAGTTCTCGGGCATGTTCTTAGCAGTGGCGCCCAAGAGCCATCGCGTGCTCTGCAGCTGAGAGCTCGAGAAGCAGGAGTCTTTCCACTTGAAGTGGGCCAGGTGATCGCTGATAACCTTTCTGGTCTCCTGGTTCGACAGCAATGTAGGAGTTTGTGCATTTGTGCCCTAAGCACGCCCGCTAGTCCTCCGTCGTACCAACGATGATGTTCAAGATCACTTTCTCTGCTTCCTTGTTCACTTGGTGCTTCGGAGCAACGGAACCCGAAGAATTGAAGGCAGCGACCACTTCCTTCAATCTGACCTCCATCGTTTTTGATGCTGTTGCCTCCCTTTCCATAACCTTTGAGAACCGTAGGGCCATGTTGAACAGGCCAGGGGCCTGCCTCTCGGATCCACGAAAGCTGAGACCGAGGTTCCGGAACGACTGTTGCACCGAGTCCATGAAGAATTCCAACTTGGTTGTTTCCAGAAGTCAGCACAATTAGTTCCATACATTATAATGCTCAAGTGCGACATGCATAACTGCAGTCCAAGCGCATGCATGGGGAGGAGCCACCCCTTGTCGAGGACGGGGTAGAGAGGCTCGAGCTGAGGATTGTCGACTTCGTACTCGGCGCAGGCTAGGACAATCCAGGCAACGGCCGTTGCCCTGGTCCAGCCCTTGATGCAACCAAGGCTGAAAGGAGTGATCTTTGCAGTTCCATCCTCACCTCAGCAAATATGCACTGCATCCAGGTGACAAGTAATATTTTGTGTCCGAGCCACAGGTGGCCTTGAAGTCGACCTCAATTGAACTTCAACCAAAATTCGTTAACAACCGAGTCATGGTGTTTATGCACTTGGAAGCTGGCGTTTATGTCCAGTGGTTCTCGCGAGAGGTCCACTCCGCATGTCAGCATGGAGATAATCGTGGTCCGCCAGTCCTCTATGCTTGGCAACCCGTCGTCAGGCACGTCGTACCTGTGTGAGGAGAACGAAAGATATCATATGCATAGATTTACACAAATTAGACTGATTTCTGTGCAAGAAAATGCTTCAGGACCTCATGGCCACCAGAGGCAGGCGAAGCGTCTCTTTCTCGGATGCAGGCGAGATAGCCTGGAAAGCATATATACGGCAGCAACGACAGCTAAAAGAAATGGAATGAGCTCAGCAAAATTAAAACCCACTTGTGCGTTCGAGATGCACAATCATCCAGCGCCTTGAAAATACTGTCCGTCTTTCCTCGAAAGGCAGCATACCTCTGACACCACTTCTCCAACTCCGCCGCCGTCACGGCAGCGTTTGCCGAAGTGAACGCCTGCATGGCACGATGAGTGATGATTGAGGAAGCCAGACAGACCGGTCTGCTACACACCTGAAGAACTGGTCCCACAGGATGAACGCAATCCACGTTCGTGTCCAGAGTGTACAGTTCCAGCGTCTCGAGGCATGCCTCTCAACAATGACAAATAAAACGCAGGGTTGGTTTCTACAGCTTGGGCAACAATCGTCCCTTGGCACCTTGACCAGGGTCAGGTCTCCCGTCATGCTGCGAAGCTTCTTTTCGATCTCGGTGGCCAAGCGCTTGGGCGGCGACGACCTGACCTTCGCCTCGGACTCGTCATTATTCTCTTCCTTCTCCTCCTTCTTCACGATCTCTGCTTTTAAGCGTGCAAGCATGGCTTGGCAACAGAGATGCAGGGACTGCTCCTGCTCCGGCTCCGGAAGCCGCAAAACTGCAGCATCAGGCACGTAGCATCACACAAGCTCAAGGCAAGCAATATAATTCGTCATCAGCTGATTGAAGACATGGGCCCTTGGGCAGCAGAATATGTTTGACTTGGTTTTAGCAAGCCACACATAATAAGTAGTTAAGTAATTAAGTACTTGCAGGCATCCACCTGTGGAGGCAAGAACCCTATCGTGCATCCAAAATGGAAGAGAATCAGTCCACCGTGCATCCGAAATGGAAAAGAACCAACAACGCGTGCTTGCACGACAAACATGTGACACCATTACGTACATCCATTTTATATGGAGATCCCAAAACCAAAATGGATGTATGATTAGGCTAAACATACTTCCAAATGCCAGGCCTGGCGAACACATGTTCTATTTTATGTTGGGGATTTGATTTTGAAATGGATGCTCTGGCCCAAGACACCAGCAAACGGATGTATGTTTAGGCTAGTCATACATCCATTTCAAAACACAGATGGAGGCACGCAAATGGATGTATGTATTGCTGTTTGGCAACCGAAATGGATGTAGGTCTAGGCTAAACATACGTCCATTTGCACCAAAAACAGGGGCAGGGCCCGGCAGGGTTGGCCTATCATACGTCTAAATACAACACACACATCGCCCTACCGTACACCCAAAAAATCAGACAGGCAAGCATGTCGTGGCCTATCGTACGTCTAAATACAACACACATCGCCCTACCCTACGTCCAAAATAAGATAGGTCGGCATGCCGTGCGTCCAAAACTTCATGAGATCTCTAGCTGCCGTGCGTCCAAAGCAAAGGGTGTCTGTCCCAAACACGCTGGCTATTGCCCACAGATGTCCAACGCACCGGCAAAATCGAGATGGTTCCACCTATTGTACATCCCACATTATCAATCTGATCTTGGCCTCCCACAGGCCTGGCATCTAAAAAAAAAATCGAACACAATCTGAGGGTTGAGCTGTCCCTCCGAACACCCCAAGCACATTTCACTCGAATCTTCCCGAGACATGCTGCATCTGAGGCTATGTTTGAGTTTGTGTTCCAAGGCTTGATTGTCCTAGCTCACTGGGGTCTACAAGGCTGGCTGGGTACTTCCCATGCAGCTTCTTCCTGGGATCCAGGAAACGACTGTCTAGCTTTTGGGGCCGGGCTGGCTGCCCGGACCTACAGAGTTCACCTGGCTGCGTGCGATGCTGCTGTGTCCTGGAAACCAGGACAAAGCATTCCTCGGGTTGCAGCCTGTTTTCAACTTGTCGCTTTCCGCGCTTCACTCCTGTCTGTCTCGAGAAAAAACCGCCCTTAGCGGAATGCTGGGTGCAAGAACTTTCAAGATTGGATCTGGCCAGTTTGGCACAGCCCCGCGCCAAGCTGCTGCCTCAGACCGAGCAGCATGCCACGGCAAGGACTGCAGCGTCGCTTCCTGCCAATAACGATTCTCAGCCAGACGTCTCAAGTAGTTGACAGCACGGGCATATTTGGATCCGTAGTGCAATTCCACCACTTCTGCGACATCGTGCAATCGCTTGGTAAGTGCAGCCGACGCGTTGTTGCCATACCTGGGTAAATGAGCAAACAAGGTGATGCAGCCTAAGCAAGAAAGCACACTAGTCTCGCCATTAGACAGCCATGCTGCTTTGTCTCGGGAACCAAGGCTGGCACTCTAGCTGAGCGAGTTGTTGGAAGCATAAGAAGGGGATCCTGTGACAGGTTCACATCCCCCACGTAGCGCTTGATTACGCAAATGATGTCTTCTGCATGAGGTGGTCCGCGGAACGATCCGATGTTCACGTTGATGGACGGGGAGAGATCTGGACAATGAGTTCGAAACGGTCAACACAAAGTTAAAGTTTTTAACACAGTTCTGAGTCTGAACAAACCCCTATCCTTGGCCTCTGCGCTGGGATAGCAAGAAGCAATGGTTGGCATGGGCGTCCTCCTTCAATCCGCCTGCATACTGCATCCCCGCTGGCGCCCAGTGCTCAGACCAAGATCTCACAGCGTTGAGTCTGCAAATCTGGACTTCGCTGCCGATCCACTCCTGGGATGCCATGAATTACACTGCTTGCAGAAAGGCATAACCCCAAACCCCTCAACTGTTGTCATAGTAGTACTTAATAGTAATAGTAATAGCTAGTAGTAGTAGTAGTAGTAG